ACACAGGTGCCTGCAAGGGAAGGGGACGCCAGGATGCAGCTGCAGCAGGCATAGAAAGCCCACGGGTCAGGGTGGGGAGTGGGAAGGGAGCTTCAGGCAAGCTTGGTATTCTGCATGTTCCCTGGCGCTTCCAGCACCAGGACTTTCTGTCAGCCAGAAGCCCTTTTTCACCTCTCCTCCAGGCAATTTCTTCTTCAAAGGGCTCTGGAAGCCAGGGCTCACCATCAAATGCCAGCTATTTCCATCCCAGCTGATGTTCCTGAAGATTTAAATTACAGTCCCCAGGAGCTGCCATTTTCACAGTGTACTCCTGCTACATCCTTTGCTACTGAACCGGCCTCGATGGCGGCCTTCCAGAGGAAGTCATTTGTAGACACGTTCCCGTGTCCTTTCTTCCCATTGCTCTGAGTGGCAGGGAAACCTTCCTTTGAGGACAACGCTGGAGAGATATTCCCCCACAGGCTCCCTTTCTGCTACGAGTTTTGTTTCTTTTGGGTGCATTTGAGCAGAGGGCTATGGGTCAGCTGCTGCCTTTTGATCACCCCAGGATATAGTCTGGCATTGTTAATGGCAGGGAGGAGCAGCCAGGTTGCACAGTGGATAGAGCAGCAGCCCTGAAATCAGGAGGACCTGAGTTCAAATCCAGCCTCAGACACTTACTAGCTGTGTGACGGGCAAGTCACTTAACCCCCATTGCCTCCAAAAACCCAAAACAAAACAAAAAATAAAGGGATGGAAGCGGAGAGGCAGCATGGGAGAACACAATGAGCACCAAACTTGAAACGAGAAAACCTGGGGTTCAAATTCCATTTCAAACAGTTACTAGCTTTCTGACCATGGACAGCTCCGTCCAGTTTGCTCATCTGCAGCTTCTGACATTACTGACCACCTACCTTCTCCTCCTGGATATTCTCACATCTCCTACCTGTGTAACTGCTTCTTCTCAGGCCCTTTTGCTGGTTTATTATCAGTACCATACCCTCTCACTGTAGGTTTACCCCAAGGCTCTGCCCTAGGCCATCATCTCTTAGTGACTTCATCCACTCCCAAGAGATCTGGGAGCTCCTGGAGAGCAGGTACTGTTTGTTTGTAGCCTCACAGCTAACACAATGCCTGGTACATAACAGGTCTTTAATAAATACTTATTGACTGACTCCTAAATCTTTATATCCAGCCCTAGTCTCTCTCCTGAGCTCTACTTGTGTATCTCCAACATTAGACATTTCAGACTGAATGTCACAGAAACATCTCAAACTAAACATGTCCAACCCACCCCCCACCCCCGTCCCACCCCGCCCAAACCCATCCCTCTTCCAAATGTCCTTATTTCTGTCAAAGGCATCAATCCTTCTGGTCATTGAGGTTTGAAATTCCAATGGTACAGATAGAGCACTAAACCTGGAATCAGAAAGACCTGGGTTCAAATCCTACTTCAGATACTAGCTGTAAGACTTTGGGCAAGCCACATAGGCTCTTTGGGTGTCAGTCACCTGTAAAATAACTGGGCTGAATTCAATGGCCTCTCAGGTCCCTTCAGCTCTAAATCTATGATCTTTCAATTCCTCACTCCCTTACCCTACATGTCCAATCAGTTACCAAATCTTGTCATCTCCACTTTCACAATGTCTCCTGCATCCATTCTCTCTCTCTACTCACACAGCTATCACTCTACTTCAGGCCCTAATCACCTCACACCTGAGTTACAAGATGCAAATCTCCCTAGGTCACTCTCCTAACTCAATAAACCATAGTGGTTCCATGCCTGGAAGGCCCTTCCCTCCTCACTGCCACCTCTTGGAATCTCTGGTTTCCTTAAATACTCAGGTCAAGAATTCTATGGGAAGTCTTCCTGTTGCGCCCCCCCCCCCCCCCCCCCCACCCCACAATTACCTTGTGTTTACTTTGTATACAAGCATTTGGTATATATTTATAGATGCTTATCCTGTCTCCCTCAACAGAACATAAGCTCTTTGAGGAGAGGGAGCTTCATTTTTGTCTCTGTATCCCCAGCACCGAACTGTGCCTGGTAACAAAGTAGGTGCTTAATAATTGCTCATTGGTTGATTGGCTGTAGAGTTGCCATGGACTTCTATATCTGGAAGTAATCTTGTGAATTTTAATGTTAAGCCATTGAATGGATGAAAAGTAGTAATGAAAGGTGGAAGACGCAAACAGACAAACTTAATCTTGATGTAAGGAAAAAGAAAAACCTTCTTAACTATTAGAGCTGTCCAAAGGTGAGCTGGGCTGCCTCAGAATGGTAGCAGATTCCCCCAGACTGGAAATCTGTGATGGCGGACTGGATGACTCCTTGTTGGGTATATTGTGGTTCTAGGCATGGGTGTGATGGGATATGCATACGGGATATGCATAGCCTAGAAAAAGGGAGACTCAGGGGCACATGAGAGCTGTCTTCAAGTAACCAAAGGGCTCTCATATGGAAGATGGATTTGTTGTTTAGTTGTATCCAACTCTTCATGACCCCATTTGGGGTTTTCTTGGCAAAGATACTGGAGTGACTTGCCATTTTCTTCTCTAGCTCATTTTTTTTACAGATGAAGAAACTGAGGCAAATAGTATTAAGTAACTTGCCCAGAGTTACACAGCTAGTAAGTGTCTGAGGCCAAATTTGAATTCAGGAAGATAAGTCTTCCTGACTCCAGGCCAAGCAATCTATGCATTATGGCACCACCTAGCTACCCCAGGAAGAGGGATTAGATTTGTTCTATTTGATCCAAGAGGGCAGGACAATGGGCGATGGGCATTGTGTAGCCTTCTGTCATGGAGAGGCATTGGATTCAGAATCAGGAAGATCTAGGTTCAAATCCCATCTCAGACACTTACAAGCTGCATGACTTTAAGCCGTGTCATCTCTTTAGCCTCAGATGCCTCAACTGTTAAAAAACAGGGTTTGGATTTGATGGATGGCATCTAAGGTCCCTCCCAACCCTACAGCTGTGATCCTACAAGTAACAAAAAGGCAAAGACAGGCTTGACATCAGGAAAAATTCCCTACCAATGAAAGCTGTCCCAGAGTGGAAGGGACTGCCTCAATGGTAGTGGATTCCTCCACCCTGGGAGGTCCTCAGGCAGAGTCAGGATGACCACTTTTGGGGGGCGGTCTGTTAGAGTGGGGATTCCTTTTCAAGAATAGGTTGGATAAGACAGTGATCGAGATCCTTTCCAACTTGAAAATTCTGTGATTCTGCTTCTAATTTATGCATTCCAAGGAAACAGTTACTGAATTTCTTTGGGGTCCCTAGAGTCTCTAATAACAAGGGTTAGGGCTGGAGGATGAAGGTTTCTTAAAACTGCTCATTCAAGTGCAGCTCACTAGCTCTAACTTGTCTACACACTCTCCCCCAGTAGAATGGAAGCTTCTTGAGGGCAGGAATTGTTTTAGGTTTTCTTTTTTTTTTATATCAGTATCTGATACAGGACAGTAAGGACAGTGGCTGGTACATAACAGAGGCATCGAATTTACAAGCAAATCCATATCTCTCAGTAGGAAAACTAGGCCTCAGTCATTTCTGTTGGATCCAGAGAAAAACTGGCTGCTGCCCCGAGTATCTGAGCAGCGGACTTTAACAGAGCCTAATCAAAATGCACGATCCAGATAAAAAAGAAACACTAACTGCCTCAGAGACTCTGCATCTCTGATCTAGCTACCCAGAAAGAGTTCAAGAGAAAGCCATACCTGTGACCCAAATGACAGTAACCAAACCCAACACGAAATGTGTGCTTTGAGTGACTCTCAATGACATCAACTGGATTAAGATAAGAACTCTGCCCGGATAGAATGGCAGAAACAAATAGGAGTTACCGATTTTCTCCACACAGAGCTAACATTAATTACTGAAAATACAAATGGGAAAGGATGCTCTTTGTGAGAAGATTACTGTCTAACTACAAACACATAATCTCCATTCAACAGTATGTCAGCAAAGAGAGAAGGGGAAAAAAAACAAACCCAACAACTAACAAAGTCATGCTCCGGTTAGAGTTAAAATAATCATCTCAACTCTCAGCTAGAGCTGCTGGGACTTTGTGGAAGATATTTCGATCCTGGGAATTGGAGAAAAGGCATTTGTTTGCACAGGCTCTCCAGAGAATTCTTGGGAACAGTCTACTAGTTGACCAATTGATTCATTAGTTCACATGTTTACTGAAAGGAAAAGGTAAAGCACTCCAGTATCTTTACCAAGAAAATTCCAAACAGGGTCATGAAAGTCAGACATTGAAATAACTCAACAGCAACAACAACAGGCAGAACTTGAACTCAGCTCTCTACCTACTGAATAAGTCACTCTACACCTCTCTGTGCCCCAGGCAACTCCAAGACTCCAAGTTATGAAGCAGTCGATCATCTATATTGGTGGAGGGAGTTTCCTTACTGGGAGTTCTTGAACCCAGTGAAATCACAGGTCTGAATCAAAAAATAATAATAAAATAACTGACATTTATGTAATGCTTTAGGGGTTTTGTTAAAGTCCACAGGGCACTTTACACGCATTGTCTCGCTTAACCTGTATGACAATCCAGTGAGTAGTAGATACTATAAACATGACTGTTCCCATTTTTCCAGATAAGGAGAATATGACTCAGAGAGGTTAAATAATTCAGCCATGGCCATGAGTAGCAAGCTTCAGAAGCAGGATTTGAACCCAGGCTCCTCTTGGCTCTGAGCTTAGCACTCTTCGGACCAGTATGAGGCACTATGCTTGGCACTGGTCTTTGGTGCATGCATTAATTCTCCATGAATTAATTAATTAGGTGCCTATGAGATATACTACAGTCTCTTGAGTGTGGCTCACCAATCTTTCCCTGAAAGAATAACTGTGATGGAGAAAGAAGAACCCTCATACTAACAACATTTGAGAAACTGCTGAAAGGGGGCAAAACAGATAACTTTTTTTAAAATAGCAATTTAAATGATAGAAACAGAACAGTGGAAAACAGTATATATAAAATATGTAATGTATTTGTACAAAATCCTATAAAGAAAACAAATGTTTCATAAAAATACTTTTTAAAAAATCAGCAAAAGTCACAAGCAAAACAATTTGGTAGAAAGTTATAATTCCTTGTACACCCATGGGAACGGCAATATTCCCCAAGTGACATCACGGGGCGTTTGGGTTACTGCTTAGGGACTGTGCTCGGGAATAAATCACTCGGATTTTGGCTGGAGCTTGATTAGACTCAGGCACATCATAAATAAGGAGGGAACATACGCTTTCAGTCCTCTGGCCACGTGCAGGGGTAATATCAGTGGGTTATCGGTATCCAAAGACAAATGGTGGAGGAAAATACTAAAGGAAGAAAATCTATACAGCAGCAAAATCAGAAACCAATGATACTACTCAAGTGGTCTTTGAGAGAAAATGGGATTTTGGCCCCATCAGAGGAGATTCCATGAGACGAACATGTGGACAGGGCAAGAACAAGTCAGCCTGATTAAGGCCCTGCCCTTTATTGGTAGATGACCTTCACGCAAAATGTCTCCTCATTTTTGTCTTCATGGTCATTAATGTAAATCAGAATTTCCTCCATCCCTGTGCTGTTACTTGGAGCAAACCGCAGGCCGATGGTATACGTTTCTCCAGCATCAACCTGGAAATGAGTGTGACAGACAGATTTTTCAATCTTTTCCTTCTACAAGGAAGGAAAAAGTGACTGGGGAGCACACACCTTTTAAAAAAGCCCAAGTCACATTCCACACATTCTCCCTCTCCACCCCACCCCCAATGGCCTCATTACTCAAAATTGAAATTCACAAGTTGTCAGATAGTCTATTTGTCCATCTTGAAAGCCTGAAGACTACAGAGCTCAAAGGAAAAAGAAATCATGACGTCACAGTAAATCAGGCCCTTGAGTACATTCAAAACCAACTTGCACATGGTTCCACAGTTCCCCAACTAAATATGGTCATATCACCCCCTGCCCAAAACATCTTTCAGTGGCTTCATATTTTGTACTGAATCAAGCTTAAATAAATTAATTAAATTAAATCAAGGGCTCTCGGGGCCCTCCACAATCTGGCACCAGCCCATCTTTCCAATGCTGGTGGGGCAGTGTATAGACCACTGGGCCTAGAGTCAGAATGACCTGAGTTTGAATCTGGCTTCACATACTTACACGTCCTGCGACCCTGGGCAAGTCACTTAATTTCTGTTTGCTTCACTTTCCTCATCTGTAATATGGGGACAATGATAGCACCTACCTCCCACAGTTGCTGTGAGGATCAAATAAGATCAAATTTGTGAAGTGCATAGCCCAGGGCCTGGCACACAGTAGGTGCTTAATAAAATGCTTATGCCCCTCTGCCCCTCCACCCCGACTTCCACTTACTACATTCTTTCCCATCCTTCAAAGCCTAGTCAACAATGGCAATACTCTGTAGTGAAGAGGGCACTGGACTTGGATTTAGGAAGAGATGAGTTCAAATCAGGCTTCAGTCAATTACTATCTCAGTGACCCTAGACAAGTCCTTTCCCATCTGCTGCAAAATGAGTGGGGAGAGGCTGGACTTAGTGGTCTCTAACGTACCTTCTGGTTCTAAATCTCTGATCCTCTGATCGATGCCCCTCTTTCAGGCCTCCTATCTGCACTCACACAAGATATCTGCAGGATAGTTATTTGGGGATCATCCCCTTCCCTAGATTGTAAGCTCCATGAGGGCAAGGAGCCCTAGCTTCTGGAGACTGTATATCTTGCTCAGTTCCTAATATTACATTCTGCACACAGCCGAGGCTTATAAATGTCTCTGGCCAAGTTTCGAGGTAATCTCAGTATGTTTTTTGTACCAAAAACAAACGGTCAGGGAAAACACTACGAGAGGTGCGTACTGAGAAGAATTAATAAGTGTCTGTCAATTTAACAAACCTACTCCCCTGGAAGCTCCGCCTCTGTGTGATTCACTTCTGTCCTTACAGCAAAGCTCAGGGCAGCTGGAGGCAATGTATTCTCAGGGCAAAGCCCCAAAACAAGGGGCTGGCTGACTCTGGGAACCTAGTAGAGCCCCAGGGTCAAAAATCAATACAAAACCCTTCCTTTCTCATGAAATCTTCCAAAGTTTCAAGGTAAAAAAACAACAACTCTAGGCATTCACCTTCACTAGGACACTCAGTGAGATACGTGAGGGATCCCTGGGGAGATGAAGCCTATAGAATTTCTCTCTTCTCTTATAAGAGTAGTACAGTTTTCTACTCCACCTCCAACCTCGAGTCCTGAGGGTCTTCACCTTCTGGATGCCCTCTGCCCTCCCCTCATTTGGCAGTCCAAGGAAGCTCACGGACCCCTTCTCAGAGGCATGTTGGGTGCCCATATTCCTCACTCAAGGACATGCTGCATTTTAGTTAGAGGTTAGTGAAAATAAAGACAGAGATAGATAAACACACATACATGCATGTGCATATAGGTTTATACACACATTAATATAAACACACATATGTATATATAAACATGTGATATATGTGCCTATTCATACTGTGCACTGTGTGCATGTATAAATGCCATGAACTTGGGCATGTGTGAGTTTGTGTATTTTACATACATACATACACATACACACATACACAGAGTCATATATACAACTATATACATGTGTACACATATATAACCACACCTATATACATACATATGCACAAACATATATACATATATATGAACATACATGCATCTCTATATGTATGTGTATGTGTTGTGTGTGTGTGTGTGTGTATACACACACACATATACACACACATACACACATATATCTAAGTATACCTCCATACACATATAAACCTCTGGTCTGGAAAATATGGGAGAATACCAAGTATCACAGAGTTTTAAGACAAGTCGCCAGATGTCATTTCTGGGCAATTTCTGACAAAGCCAATCAAGAAAACATCAAGAATGAAGAAGACAGCAGCTTGTACCACGTTCAATTTGTCGGAGGGTGGGGGAAGCTGGAGCTACAGAAGAGCTTTCTGGAAATAAAATCAGATGTGCAGCACACATCCGGCCTCTTCACGCAGCAGGAGGTACTTAGCCTAAATTCGGGGAATGTACCTCCTTCTTCTCAGAAGAGCTAGCCATTATTAGAGAGAATTAGTCTTTCAATGCAATGTTTACTAAGGTTTTGAAGGTTTCTGAATAAGAGTTATGAGGCAGAAAATATAGAAGAAAAACAGAGAAATCTCTTCAGTGGGCGCTGCCAGAAGCACACTGCCTACCTCAAAGGCGTCTTCCTTGAACTGCAGCAGGGCCGGGTGGTTGGTGTGCAGGCGGTACGCTCTTTTGGAAGGGTAGGGATTGGTGTATGTGATCTTCTTGTTGGCACCTCTGCCACAACCAGATGGCAACGTGATCTCAAAAGCCTAGGGGAGGGAGGATAAAAAGAATGAGGCAGCATCACACACAAGACCAATCAATCAAGAAGCATTTATTAAGTACCTACTATGTGACAGGCACTGGGGGTAGAATGATAAACCTCATTCTAGATTGACCTCAAGGATTCCAACATTCAACCAGGGGAGAGGAACCAGGCACATAAAGTAAATAGAAGGTCATTTCAGAGGGAGGCACTGGCAGCTAAAGGGGATGCCACTTAAGAGGTGGCACCTGAGCCAGGGGATAGGGAAGAGTGCATTCTAGGCATGGGGGACTGTGTGTAAAAACCTGGAGGCGGGAGATGAAGTGCTGTGTGTGATCAATGGTAAAAAGTCCAAGTTAGAGTGGACAAAAGAGCACAAGAAAGAGCAGTGGGTAATAAGCCTGAAAGACCGGCTACAGTTAGGCCAAGAGGAGCTTTAAATGTCAAACAGGGGTGTTTGTCTTTGATCCCGGAGACGACATGGAGCTAATGGAACTTGGTGGGCAGGAAAGTGAGAGGAACAGGAGCCTGCAAACTTTGGAAATCTAGCTTAACTCCAAGATCATGATACTTAGAAGAAAATGCAAGCCCTACTAACATTTTTTTAAAATAATGCTCTTGTAGTTATGGAAGACAGAATAATTCTGGAGAAATTATGCAAACCTTATGGAACAATGCAAAAAAATAATCCTAGAACTGAACAGCAAGGTGCAAAAAGATAGGTAGAGCTAAACAGATAATTGTATTCATGCTTATGATTCAGCTTTTGTTTGCTCCTGCCTGTACTGAGTGGGGCAGGAAGGCGTTAACTGCCAATGAGTGCGTCTGAGTCGACAGCAGAGTCCTGGCCAGAAAAAAGGCTACAGAGTTCATCCTAAATGCGTTAACCTTCACTTAAGTCACTAGGGAAGCTAACAAGTTTGCCACAGCAGCACATGTCAATGAAAAGAACTACCCAAGAAAAGTACAAAGGGGTAAAAAGGTCTAACTTAAAGTGAGTATGGAGGTCAAGGAGAATTTCATAGTAACTTGCAACAAATGTGATCTTGCTGTGTTTCTTCCAGAGTCAAATAAGACCACAGCTTAAAATATATGAATAATGGTTTCTTGGCCATGGACAGAATATACTTGGACACGGGAGATACATATATCTCCATATAAACAACACTCTGCTGGTCTGCATCCTATAGGAGAAGACAATGAGGCAGGAGGAACACATATAAGGGGAATACGAAAGTGTTTTTCCACAGTATGGAAAGAGGCTATAAAGAACAAAAAATATGTGGAAAGGCAACAATTCACAGCTTATATAACACAGGGAAATAAAGGAAGAAGAAAGCTCATTGACCTTTGGAGCTAATGAAAAGGTATGAAACTTTCTTTAGAAAAGGGAGCAGAACCAGCCCAGGAAAAGGCAGCATCATGTGCTCCAAGGAATGAAGATGTCACCGGGTGATAGGACACCCAGCCACGATCAGAGGAAGAAGAAATGGGCAAAGTGGTTGGTAAAGAATTCCTCGAGACTGAAGAATAAGAAACAAAGAGGTTTTCAAGAAGTCTTATGAGGGCATGTATCCAGGATGTAAAAGAAAATCTAATGAGGTGTGCCATGCCTGGTGACCACTACCAACTCCTGGTGAGTCACATGGGGCCAAACGATACTGCCAGAAATAAACTAGAGAGAATGGCTAAGGAATAGGAAATCCCAGGCATAACAAACAAACACTCAACTCATCTGAAAACCTTCAAGGTACAAGTGGAATTTTCATCACGACTAGTGGTTGAAGGTAGGGGATTTAGCAGAGAAAGGGAAATTTAGGAGGTGAATAGCTCACTAAAATTATATTTGAGAAAATGATTTCAATTTTTGGACCATAGCTTAAAATATGTGAATACTGGGTTCTTGGCCATGGACAGAATACACTGGGAACAAGGGATATGTATGTGTGTGTGTGTGTGTGTGTGTGTGTGTGTGTGTGTGTGTACACACATACATATGTGCACACACATTTTATATATATATATATATTTATATGTATGTACATATGTATATTCCTGACCCCTGGAAAAATCAGATCAAGAGGATTTTTAAATGAAAATAAAATAAAAAAAAACTACCTGTTTATCTGCCACACCTGGTATCCTAGAATTGTAAGTACAACATATGTAGAACAAGTAACTCAAAGATATCAGTACAGAAACTACAACAAACAAACATGGCCTCGGTCGCTTTTAACATGCAAATGCACAAAGTATGGAGAACAAACAGGGTGAGCTAGACATCCTAATGCACAGAAGCATATTGGATCCCACAGGGTGAGATACATGTAATATAAATTGTAACATGTCTGAGGATACTGTAAGACAGCTCTGAAATGGTATATAACCTTTCTCAAAAAGAACAAACTAGACTAAAGAGGGGGAAACAGTACCATATGGGAAGACAAACTTATAGGGGCAAATTTCAGAACCTGAGGAAGGAAACTTGGGACCCCGAGATCAAATATCCAAAGAGCTGGAAGGGACTTCAAGAGGCCATCTAGTCCAACCCCTCATTTTACAGGGGAGGAAACTGAGGCTCAGGGAGGTAAGTGTATTGTCCAAGGTCACACAGGTAGTGTCAGAAGCAGAGCTTCAACTCAGCTAAGTGGTACAGTGGATAGAGTGCTGGGTTTGGAGTCAGGAAGACCTGAGTTCAAATCCGGCCTTAGACACTTCCTAGCTGTGTTACCCTGGTTGCCTCCACTCCTGCATCTATAAAATGAGCTGGAAAAGGAAATGGCAAACCACTCCATCATCTTTGCCAAGAAAACCCCAAACGGGGTGATAAAGGGTTGGACACTATTGAAACAAATGAACAACCACCATAACCTCTGACTCTAAGGCCAGTGCCCCAGCATCACGGAGAGCATTTGAATAAGAAACAAGAGAAGGAAAAATAGGCTTGGTGTTGTCCTGAAATAAGATAAGATCTGCAGGTAGGCTTGATATTATAGTCACTTCCTCTGCCAAAAGCAAAGTAGATGAGAAATTTGTATTTGTTTTGATGATTTCCTCCTTCAAAAGGTGGAGGAAATGACAAGAGGAACAGAAAGTCTGGACAAAGTGAAACAATCCTTGCCCTCAAGGAACTTATACTCTATCATCATTCTAGCATCAACAAAATACACACAGGAGGGCACTGGCAGTGGAGGGATCATGAAGGGGCAGTGACTGAATGGAGTTTTGAAGGAAAGGAGGAACTCTAAGAGGCCAAGGTGGGAAGGGAGTTCATTGCAGGTGTGAGGGATAAACAGTGCAAAGGCATAGATGGGAGATGTGTGAGGAACAGCCAGAAGTAGCATCTACATGATAGTTATTATTATTATTATTATTATTGACAGTTTGGCTGGACTTTAGAGTGCAATAATAGGAGAAATGTATACTAAGACTGGAAAGATAAGTTAGAGTGAGATTGTGCCAGGGAAGTTTATATTTGGTTCGAGAAGTAGCAGGAAGTCACATGGGCAGAGCCATGGCTTTAGGAAGATCCCTTTCACAGCTGTGTGGAAGCTGGATGGTGGAAGGGAGAAACTGGAGGCTGGGAGAACAATAAGGTAGCTATTGCAATAGTCCAGGCTAGAGGTGAGGAAGGCCTCAAGCTGGGCAGTGGAGATATGGGTGGAGAGAAAGGGATGTATATGGGCAATGCTACCAACTTATACGTGTGGGCTAAGAAAGAGTGAGGAGAAGAATGGCACCAGGAGTGCCAATATTGGGGACTGAAAGGACAGTAACCTTAACAGAAACAAAGAAACCCAGAAGAGGACAGGGGTTAGGGGAAAGAGAATGAGTTCTACTTTGGGCACATTGAGTTTGAGATGTTTATGGGATTTTCAATGTCCAACAGGCAGCTGGAGAGATGCAGCTAGAGACAGAATTCAGGCGGCTATAGAATCATTTGTTTCATTTCAAGGAATCATTTGCATAAAGATGATAATTAAACACCTGAGAACTGATGAGGGGACCAAGAGAAAGTATAGGGACAAGAGACAGCCAAGGCAGAGTCCTGTAGTCCATATATAGTCAGGAAATGGGATATGCTTGAGGATCGAACACAGAAGACTAACGGAACAGTCAGATGAGTAGGAGAGACAACAAGATGGTGCAATGGATAGACCACTAGATTTGGGAGTCAGGAAGACCTAAGTTCAAACCTTGCCTCGGATATTAGGTGTGTGTCCCTGGACAAGTCATTTAACCTGTCTGCCTCAATTTCCTCATTTGTAAAACAGGAATAATCACAACATCTATTTCATAGGGTTCATGTGAGGATTAAATGAGATAATATAAGCCAAGAGTTTTGCAAACATCAAGACATTACATAAGTGTTCATTTTAATTATTATTAGTAGGAGAACTGTGAAAGAATAGTGTCATGAAAATCCTCAAAGGAGAAGAAATTGTTACAGGGATGTAAAGATGAGGACGGGGAAAAGGAGATCAGACTTGATCTCTAGAATAACTGTGGATATCCAATTTGGAGAGGTCAGTTCCAGTTCAATGACGAGGTCTTCAACTGGAATGCATGGGAAGGGAGAGGTGAGACACAGGAGAAGTTGAGGCTGCATGTGCTGGCAGATTTTTCTAGGAATTTGACTAAGAGAGGGAGGAGAGAAAGACCGGACAAAGGCTCAAAAGATGGTACGGTCAAGCTAATATGTGCCTGAAAAAGGTAATCTACCAAGAATTCTCAACTGGTTAGGATGATGGCTCCAATCTAATAAGATGAAACCTAATTAATAGAGATCAATATAAAATTCTACCCTTGTGTTCAAAAATCAATGTCATGGGTAAGAGATGAGGGAGGTGGGACCAGACAAGAGTCACCATGGAAACGATCTTGGTTCTTTAACAGAATCGGAGCTTGAGCTGCCTTGAGGATATGACATGGCAGCCTGGCAGCCTTCGTCCTCTCCCCAGGTCAGGTGACATCTGGAATACAGTTGATCTCTGGCTCCCACAGGAAGGAGGAGAGCATTGAGGGAGCAAAGGATGGCCAGGATGGTGAAGGGTCCTCAAGATCACACCATATGAGAATCACTGAAGGAAATGAGGGGTTTTAACCCAGAGAAGCGATGACTTAGGAAGCTGTTTTCAAGTGGTAGAAGAGCTCTCCTCCAGTGGTGGGATTAGATTTTCTCTGCTTGGCTCCAGGATGTAGAACTAAAGGTAACTGGTACAGTTACAGAGAGGTAAAACTTCCCAACAGTGTGAGCAGGCCAGAAGTAGAGAAGGCTGTCCTAGAAAGCAGTGAAAGCCCCTTTCCTAGCAAGGCTTCTTCAGGCAGAGTCTAGGTATCAAGGAGGCTGAGGAAGGGGTTCTTGATCAGCTACTCTGAAGACCCTTCCAGTTCTGAGACTGGGATCTTGTGATTATCGTATCTAGCACAAACAGTCCCAGGTTAAAGACCAGGTGCACTATTATGAGATTTAAGAGGGCACCTGTGCATATAGCCACTCCAACATTATACAAGGTGTTTGAAAATGGTCCCTGTGTCATTTCTGTGATAACACAGAAACTTGTAAGTTTGGAGGATTAAGTTTTCAGAACCCATCCTGAATTACTGAGACAAATAACAATGCCATCAGTGCAGCATGGGGGGAAACCAATGGCAGGCAAAGCAAGGCAAGCAATCTAGTCTCAAGAACAGCATTTGCCACTAACGAGCTGTGTGGTTTTCAGTATATCACTTAATCTCTCTGTAATTCTATTTCTTCATCCATAAAAACAAATGCATATTTTCTAAGTGATTACTGTTGTTGTTGTCGTTATTCTTGAGAAGAAATATGGTATAGTGAGTAGAGAGGCAGCCTTAGAGTCAGGAAAACCTGGGCTCACAAACAGACTCTGACACATAGTGGGTATGAGACTTTGAGCAACTCATTGAACTAATCAGTGCTCTAGGCAACTTTCTGAGACTATGAATCACAGAGAAGATGCCACCTTCATCTTTATCTGGGAGTTCACTCTACCAACAAAATACCAGCTGCTATCTCTATCCTTTTAATAATAATTATTGTTGTTATTATCATTATTATTACAATGAAGGGGCTGGACTAGATTAGCATCACAGAATTTCAAAATTGGAAAGGAGCTCAGAGATGATCTAGCACCCCTGAAAAACCATCCACTCCTCAATATCTCCAGCACATGGTCATTCCATCTTTGCTTAAAGACTTCCATGAGAAGGATCCCACTCTCTTTCAAGGCAGCCCGTTTCACTTACGTGTGGCTCTAATTGCTAGGAAGTTTTTTTCCCTTCCATCAAGCATACATTTAGTTTTTGGTGATTTCTACTCATTACTGCTAGCTTTGGCCTCTGGATTCAAGCAGAAGAAGCCTAAAGCCTCTTCCACAAGAAGATTATTGTCCCATCCCCATCAGGGTCTTCTACTCTCCAGGCTAAATATCCTCAGTTTGTTCACTGGGCCCCATGTGGCCCAGACTCAAAGCTCCTCTTCCTTCTCATTGCCCACCTTCAGCTTGGCAAGGACATTCCTAAAATGTAGCCCTCAGGTCTGAGCCCAGACATGGTCTGACTCGAGCAGAGTGTGATGAGACTCCTGCCTCCTTACTCCTGGAATCCCTGACTCTCTTAACAAAGCCCAAGATGACAGAGCTACCTTGGTCACTGTGTCACACTGTTAGCTTAGACAGACTCTGTGGTCCATGGAAACCATTACATCTTCAGACAAAAAAAAAACATCTCCACAGGCATATGATGCTGCCCCATCATATGCCTGCAGAGATGATTTTTTTGAACCCAAGTGCCCAACCTCACATTTATCATTATTGAACTGCATCTTAATTCAATTACTCTAAATAACTCTGAGAATCTGGGACTCTGGCATATATAGTCCAAAGAGCCCAATCTAGCCTAACATTCTCAGCCAGGAAGATCTTTTTGTGTCTTGACTCTGCTCTCCAGTGTGTTAGCTGTGTCTCCCCAACTTTGTGTCACCTGAAGACTTAATTAGCATGCCATCTATGGCTTCTTCCAAGTCACTGATAATGTTCAACAGCATAAGGCCCAGAAAGGCTTCCTGCGTGTTCTTCTAGAGACCTCCTCCCAGCTTAATGCCAACGCATTCCTGACTAATCTTTGAGGCTGTTCCAATTTCACCTAATTGTATGAACATTTATCCTACAACATCCTGCTCCGATACTCAGTGTTTCTAAGACCTTAAGACAGAAGCTCCAATATTCCCATATTTGATCCTCTTTTATTTACATGCCTGATCCAGAGAGGAAAAAAATTCAAATCAAAGAGCTTAGCAACCTTACTTTCTAGGTAGCTAGTGGTATTTCCTTTAGAACAGCCCCAGCTCTAAAAAAGACTATACATACACATCTATCTATCCACACACTTTATATATTTTATTTTATAAAAATATAATTTATAAAAATATAAAATTTATAATACAATTTATGAATATTTTATAAAATATAATTTATATAGACTTTAAATAATATAACATAATTTTAATAATTTTACAAGATATAATTTTATAAAATATAAAAATGTGTGTATATATATATATATATATATACATATATACAGAGAGAGAGAGAAAACACGTCCTCAGTGCAGTTTCCATCTTACTCTCATAAAGAATGAGGCAGAGAATTGTCAAAAGCAGACCATCATAGGCTAGGAATATTCAACTAATGAATCTGAGCAAACACAGTTCAAAAACTTGCCTAGAGGTGACGTTCATTAGAAGTAATAATGACAGTGATGGTAAAAGTCCATAACAATACCCAGGGGTTACAAATTGCTTTATTCACAGCACCCCTGTGAGGCAAGTGCTACAAGTATTATCTTCATTTTGCAGAAGGGGAAACTGAGACACAGACTAAACAGAGAGTCAAATCAGCAGATTCAGTTCTGCTTACTCTAAGACCAAGGTTTTATCTACTATACCTTGCTGCTTCTCTGAATCACAACATGATTGGGTGATCACATCACCCAAGATTTTGGGTATCAGACACTCTTCCCACCAAATCATACAAGAGGATGTGGCCCTTTACATACCTTGGAAATGACAGGCTGTCGACTGGATAGGCACACGAGCCAGGAGGCCACCAACTGGTGGTAATCAACATCCACCAGATTGAGATAAAGGAACCGATTGCCTGAACGCTGAGGTCTCACACCAACTTGTAGGTCATGCACGCCATTCCGTGAGAGCATAAAAACGCCATCAGGGTCCAGCTGTCCAATGCCAAAGGAAACAGAAGCAGAAACAGGGTGAGCTTGGGGGTAAACAGAAGGTAATTCTTAAACAAGGTCAAGAAACACTTTCACTCCACCATTATAAAGCCTGACTTGACCAAGATCTGTCATCCCATTCCCTGGCAGAAGGTCACAGGTTCTATCTGCTATTCAAGAGTAGCCATTTGTCTTTGTTGGGAGGGAAACAGCACAGTGCAAAACATTTTTTTCCTGTCCTGCAATGGATGGAAGTTGCCAAGTAGAAGATCCTTTGGAGAAAGGAAAATAAGAGCTGCCTCTGAGTGTGAAGGTTCCCTCCCTCGAGGCTGGAGGACTGACAGCCTATCCGAGAATGTCATCGAAAGGACTCCTGTTCCTATAGAGGCTAGACTGGGCAACCTCTGAGGCTTTTCCAAATCTATCTAAGATGCTGGGACTTTCCTTTTGGATATCCTAAGGCAGAAAAAGATCTGGAAAATTCTAGTCTTCTGGGTCGGTCTGGAATATCACCTGAGTACCTGCCAACCAATTTCTGCCTTGATGCTAAGAAAAAATGAAGTGAAATGGCACCACCTAAGAAGTCAAGAGTCACCTTCAATAGAGGCAAAGACATAAATATGTCATGGTAGGCTTCAGTTCAGTCCTTCCTCCAAAGGTTTAACTGCTCTTTAAAGGTCTGCTTCCCAAAAGATAAGAATTTAAACATTCCTTTTTATTTTAAAAATTAATACACTGGTAATGGCATTGATGTTTTTCTTATTATTCACATGTGTAACTGTGACTAAATTAATTCTAAAGTGATGATTAGTCTCTAGATCTCACTAATTCTAATAATTTGCCCTCTGGGTTTTTATACCAACGAGCCTACATTTGACAAGTTTAATGAAATGTAATTTCAATGAAGACTTTATGGTAATGAAAAAATCTTAATTCCAAATGGGACTTACTTAATAAATGGGTATGTTATTTACATTGAGCTCATGAGTAAAGTTTTCCTTTAAAAACTAACCTATCAACAGAATATGTCAGGTGAATTCTAACTACAAGACATTTCATTAATCTGTCCCACCTATCAAAACTTCATCAGTCAGCAGGCAGGACAACAGATGAGGTTACGGGAAAGGCCAGAAAAAAGCCTTAAGTAATCCATACCAGTAGAAAAGTCTTACCTTTAGCTCGTTGGGGTGTGAAGTGAATGCTTTCACTTTCCTAACAGTTTGGGTGCCATGAAGAACAAGGGAAAGGCGGGTCAACTGGCCAGTGACACAATTAACATCTACCCTTTGGAGAGAGTGGAGGTAGATCTGCCATATTTGAATAGGGGTAGCCAGCCAGTAATCCCTATGGCATGACACAAACATAGCTTAGTCATTCCTTTACCAAAGAAAAAAGACCATGATCCTATGTTAGTCAACTCATATTAACATTCCAAAGAAGGTAATGGATTGAACTCACTTTCATTTAAATCATATTGTTATTTACTTAGTCTCTCTTTCAATGAATACTCGAAATTCCTGTCTCTGGCTTTCAAGACATCAGTAGCCACTATATAAATACATGTGATGGATGAATGAATAAATTCTCCCTCTCTGGAGGTCTTCAAAGATAAGACAAATACTCCTTTATTTGAAATAATTTACATATCATCCTGCTTGAAGGGAGGGGACAAGGTAGATTTCTCTGAGCTTTGGGGTAAAATCTTTAAAAAAAATAGTAGAATATACCAAAGCTCATGTCCCACATCTTAGGTGTCAAAAATAAATCACATCATCCAGCTCCCTATATCCCCCAATGGGTCCCTGTATCCCACCTTCTTAAGCGGTGCCCTGGGCCACATGTGCTACTCCACTAATCCCATTTCCTTGACAGATAAACAGACTGGAGCCCCTTTCCCTTGGCTTGGAAGGGCTGGGCTTTTTTTGTTTGCTTTTTGTTGTTATTGTTGTCGTCGTTGTTTTTGTTGGGGTTTTTTTCAACCTCTCACAGTTTCTGTTCAAGATTGCAGGAGTTGTACCCTCAAATGTACAAACTCAAATGAATCTTCCTGAGAGGAAAACTTGGAACTTATTCTCTGACACCTGTTAAAGACTAATTGTTACCATCTAACATGAACCAAATGCAGAAAAAAAAAGCAAGAGGATGATTAGAAGCCTGGAAAGAACACCTGTAGGAAGTTAGGTGAACACAAATGATTTCACCCAGAAAAGCGAAGGCTAAGGGGAAGGCTTAAGGATGGTCTTCAGGCATATGAGGGTAATCACACAAAGGATTATGGCTGAGAATGGAATAAGCATAAGCTACCTTGTGAAAGGTTCAGTTTAGAGACCACAAAAGGAAACGATGGGACAGCTCCTGAGGGCAGCTGCGGGATCTTTAAATAACTGGCTCACATGCACGGTCTTAACTAAAGCCAACTGAAACAGAAGTTCTTAGAGGCCATACAATGCTTTCCTTCTCTTTTATTTCCTTGTCAAGAACATTTAGCATAGTTCAATGCCCCTAGCAGACATTTATTTGTGGAATGAACAAGTGAATGAAAGAACCATCCCTCTCTGAAGCTCTTTAAAGATAAAAGACACTCATTTGACATGATTTTTAAGTGTTTGTTGAGAAGGTAGGGGAACAAGCCTAAAAGACTCCGGCAATATCTTTGTTAGACTGACAAGTCTGACTTTCAGGAATAGCATCTTAGTTAATAAAGTAAAATGTAGGAATATAATAAAGATCAAGCCCTCACACCCAGAGTTTCAAAAAAGAAATGTATAAATCCGTTTTCTCTACCCGACATAGGCTCCTATAGAGCTATGTTCCCAGGCTCTACATTTTCCGAATTTCCTTACTTACATATAAAGAGCAACACAGAATTTTTTGATCTGTGGGCTTGGACCTCCAGCTACTTTCAGAAACATGTCCTGCGGTTCCCCTGGGCCCTGAGAATAAACATTGGGCAGCATCATTAAAAGAGTTAACCTAGAGATCAAATCAGCTAATGAGGCCCTTAGGGCTTTGTTGGCTCTTCATTATACTACCCAGCTCCTGCCCCAAAACAAATATAGGACTGGAGAACACCACCCCACCCCCTTTCAACTTTCCCCCTTAGCAAAAAACCAAACTCTCAGTTTCGGTACTAGTTGGAGCTGTTATGATTTCATTGCAACACAGGAAAAACTACTGATTTTATAATTCCATATTGGTTTCAGTAATTAGATTTTGCAAGAGTTCTATCAAGTCTTCTAACCAGGCATAGTACAATTACTGTACTGGCCCGTTTACACAATGGCAATTAACAAGTGCCTTAATTATCATTTACTTTGCTACATGTAATTTTTCTGTTTGTTTTTGTTTAAATTCAGAGAGCTGATCTGGGAACCCAGCAGCTATCAAGAGTAATAAAACTCAGGCACGGAAGCTCTCACAAGGGCTACAAAATAGCCCTCCAGAACCATGAAGAGCAACCAGCTTAACCTAAAATGAAGAGGTGGGCCAGCTGATCAGGCAGCAAGTAGGACAACGTGGGCTAATGGATTACTGAAGCAAAAACCCTTGAGGGATGTGCAAGTAAACTCACGGGCAGCTAGAATAAACAAAACGGTGGCATGCTCTTCGGACTCTAGAACTTCCTTCTTGCAGACACACCTACCATTTTTTTGGTTTCACAAATGACGTTTGGGTCACTGCAACGAACATAGATTTGGGGTTCCTTACCAGGCATTCCTCCTACAGGGGCACCTAGGAAAGTGGAAAAGATTCAGAGAATGATACCTTTCCTCTCCACTCCCCTCCCCACATGAGAAATCGCTTTTAATGTTTTGGGGAGTCCTGCACAAAGTCCTAAAAAGGCAGAATGGGACTTAAGGAAAATTCATGCCGCCTCCTTTACATGTCATCACTTAGGGCAGAAATGGAGGAAGCAAAAGTCTAGCACTAGTTTCTTCATCCAACTGAGGAGTTTCAGATACACAGGAATGAGGTTAATACTTTGCTGAACACGCAAGATTAGATGGCACAGGGAATACGGTCCTAAACTTGGAGTCGAGACCTGAGTTCAAATCCTACCGTAGACACTTGCTAGCTCTGTGACCCTGGGCAAGTCAGCCTCAGTTTCTTCACACATAAAATGGAGATAATGATAGTATCTGCTTCACAGGGTTGTGGTGGGAGTATGCATAAAACACTTTGTAAACCTCAAAGCAACACAGAAATGTTTGCTATTATTAATAATGAACTAGTATATCATGTACATATTGAGATTTTAATTCTAAGCTGTTTGGGTTTTTAATGACCTTCATTCCTTAAGGATTCTTCAAAGGGGTATTTTAAGATGAAAAACTAATCTTGAGAAGCAACATGTAAATATAAGAATAAACAACGTGCCAGACTAGCACACTGGGATTCTGTGTTTTGAAAATAATTCTAGATCAATCAACATTTATTAAGCACCTACTATGTGCTAGACACAATGTTGGGTGGTAGGAATACAAATACAAGCATAAGACAGCCCCTGCCCTGAAGGAGCTTATGTTCTAAGAAACCTATGGATAAGTACACAAGTCACAAGCCTGAAGAACCACCCGAGGGTACTTGTCTGGCTACTGGGGAACAGGCATCCAAAAAGGCCTGCCTTAGATGTAGTGGTTACATTCATTAAGTGTAGACTTCTTGTAAAGTTCTCTTCTGGTGCCACCTTCTGCCACAGAGGGGATCCTGGACTATGCCAGTTTGGAGAGATTTTGCCAGCATGAAAGGATTTCAAAGGGCAGACTCCAGGCCTGTTGTCTAAGGAACAACTCCATTACATTTGGAGGAGTTCCTAACCACATTGGCTGCAGGTGATGGACTCCTCAGTCACAGCAACCCTTGAAGACCCTCTCCCAAGTCAGAGAGTAGCTATTTGTGTCAGCAGAGGGGATACCCACAATGACCAAATCCAAAGTTCTTAGAATATAAGAGTAAACATTATACTTCATTTTGGGTTGGCAAAGAAAATCACAAGCAAATAGAAAAGACAAGTAGAAGAAATGAAAGTGAAGCTTTTCATCATGAGTTATAAAGTTTGTTATGAAAATGTTTGTGGATAAGAGAGTGACTTATGACCCATAAAAGGATGTCATTTGGATGAACTTTGTTTGTAGCCATGGGGAAATCTACGACAGAAAATGGTTGTCCCACTGGACTTGAATAAGAGTTTACCGGGCAAGGTATGCCAAAGAGGTAGCCGGATGGACTTCTTCAGGAAGGAGAGCTCAGGATGATAAAACCGAAATGTCTGATCAACCACATGGGGTTGATATTCCACATTCACGCACAGGATGGCAATGGGTTTTCCACTGCTCACGCTAAATGATACCTGGTACATAAACAGAACAACACTCAGTTATCAGAGAAGAGCAGGAATCACAGATTTTTGCTTATGTTTCTCACCACCATCATCATCATCATCATCATCACAGCACACATTTCTGTAGCATTCTGAGGACCGCAAAGCCATCTACAAACATTATCTCATTGGATATGTGCAGCTGCTATAGGTATTACAACTCCTACTTTAAAGATGAGAGAACCAAAGCTCAGAGAGGTTATAGAATTTGTCTGTGGTCAAACAGCTAGTAAGGGTTGGAAACTGGATTCAGATCCTGGTGTTCCTGACATACAGTCCAGGGCATGGTGCCTGTTCTCAGAGACGCTGTTATCCCTGTCACCCTCATCTTATAAATAAGGAAATGAAGTGTACAGAGGTTAAGAAACCTACCCAAGGCCACACAATCGACCAGCATTTATTAAATGCTTAATATGTGCCAGGCACTATGTCAACTTATTGGGATATAAAACTATAAAGACACACAGGTCTCTGCCAATAAATGACAGAATCAGGATTTGAACTCAGGTCTCCTGGTCCCAATCCAATGCCCTTTCTACTGTACTGACTGCATTCTATCTCCCAAGATCTGTTCTTTCCCATAAGAAAGGTTATGTCTAGTCATCTGACACAGCTTGGTCCAGGAATCTTGAGAAGCCTTGGTAAAATGAAAAACAGAAAAGAAGACCTGACTGCCTAGTTGAGGAAGCATCGGTGTCACCTCATAAAAGCCAATGAAGGCCCAAGTTCCAGAGAATCTAGGGACTCTTGGAGATCACCCTCACCCAATCCATACCTAATCGAGAATCCCTTTGAACAACATCTTCTACATTGGATATCTGGCCATTGCTCAATATAAGAGGGCTAATCAATCAACTAATCAACAAGTATTTTGTAAGCACCTACCATATGCCAGGCCCTGTGCTAGGTGCTAGTGATATAAATGCCCAGAATGAAATAAACCCTATTCACTGTGGGCATAATTACATTCTAGTGGGGGAGATACCCAGTCAATTCAGGGTGTTCCAAATGCCTCCATGCATTATAAGATATTGAAGTGTTTTAGTTACTTAAAATGCATACAGGTATTTGGAATATTCCCTATAAAGATATAAATATAAAGTATAAAAAGTAGAACTATAAAGTGAATAAATAAAAATATATACAGAGTAGTTAACTACAAAGTGGTTTGGGAGGGAGGGCCTTGTAATTACGGGGGGGGGGGAGGGAGAGGAGGAGGTAGGAAAGACAAGATCTGAACACAAATTTTCTGACTCCAAGTCTAAATCTCTACTCATTGGGCCACATTGCCCCTCAGGCAGCCCATTCAACATTGCATACCTTGAATTGTTAGAAAGTTCTTCCTTAAGTTGAGCTCCTAGGTCATGTTCTGTGGAAACTCATTAACTAAAAGGTTTTTAGAGAACTCAGCATAGCAGAGATTTCTAGGGTACTAAGTAGCTGAGATAATTCATTTCACCTTGAAAGAAACTGGAAATGAGTTTCCAGGCTCCATCGACCTAATACCGATATGGTTACGGTAAGTATCAGAAGGGTTAGTGAACATTTTTACAGGTCAGGAAATGGTTTTTAGAAAATCTATGAGTTACGCTGAATAATCTGTATAATTCCATATTTCCTTCATACTTCAATAGGACTTTAATTCTCCTTTAATACGGAGAGAAAAAGAAGATGGGTGGATCCCGAGGAGAGAACAAGGGATGATGGACAGGTAAGCAGCTGGAGTGCGCAAGGGTGCGCTCATGCTGTCAGGAGAAAGGTCTCTAGCACACTGGGTGGACCCTTCTGGTGAGTTCCTTGGGGTCATGGACCAAAATCACACAGAGTGGGCAGGCACGGATCCAGTTGAGTTTCCATACTCTGAGGCTCCATAGGCATATCCCCTGCACTGATACTATGCACCTGCCCTCAGCTAGGCTGGATCTGACAACTGGCAAACTGGTGCCAGGGTCTTTGGATTTCAGGAGTACCTACCAGATCTTAACATACACCAGCATCCCTTTCAAGGACTGAGGCTCACTCCCAGGACAGCCGGAAGCAGCAGCAAAGGATTCTGACCCAAAGCAGAAGATTAAAAAGCACTCCTACATCAGGGGAGCTTTTATGAATTAAACTTTCACCAGAGTCAAGCTGTGCAGAGGGGGAAATCAGCTACTCTGACCTGGGGCATGGGTGGGCCTCACTTTTCACCCAGTTAGGATTAAAGCCTGTGAAAGAAGCCAAGCTCAGCAGCTGTCTCTTGGTTAATGCCTACATCTCATTTCTGTCTCATACTTTGTGTTCAGAGTGCTGAGGGTAAGGATATCTTTAGAAATGAAGGACTTCGTGTTTTTCCAGGATGGCTGCAAAAGGAACTTGCCGGTAAAAAATATTCACTTCAGAAATCCCCATTAAAACATCACAGCACCGAGTTTTTCCTTATAGTATCATGCCAGCAGGACTGTGAAGCAAGACCTCCTTACAAACACCATTTTCCCTTTGAGATAGCAATTAAGGATTTAAGTCTTACTGTCCAGAAGAGATAAAGCACAGAGAAAACATATTAATCCTACAAGATTCAGGAGCACTATGGAAGGAGTTTTTGCATAACAAGTTTCAATATGTTTTAAATAGCCTTCATGCTATGACAAAATTGTTCCTCAAGGACAGCAGCAACAGACTTCAGCAGTACCTGACTTGAATACTCCAGAACTCTGGGCTATTTCATCTCCAGAGACCGTCTGCTCCAAGGGCCTGTAAGGCAGCAAGGCAAAATGAAGTATCTGGCAGCTCCACAGGATGCACCCCCTCCAGGAGCCTCCGGATGCTTCTGTGCTCTCAGAGATGTGGGTCCCTCCTCCACTGTGTTTGGATTACAAGCTCTCCGTGCCTCTCCATCCTAAGTGGCCCACCCCTCACATTTTCTGTAATTTCTCCAGAGAAGTCTCCGCAACCTGCTGGAGGCCTTTCTCCAGTTCTTTTCATATTTTATGGATACCAGTGTATCGTTCAGTCTCTGTCTGCTATTCTTTACTCTCACCACATGACAGCTCTCATTGTCATCTGGCCAAAAATGATGCCTTTTAGGCCACTTATGGGAATATGCTGGAGTCTCACATGTTTTTCCATGGTCCTCTGGGTCACTAGAAATTTCAATCCTTCTGAGTTAGCAGCATTCCATCATTTACAAACACACAGAAGACATCAGAAGAATTTTCATGTTAAAAAAAAATGAACTTTTATGACACTGAAAAACTTGAAATAATAATAATAATAATAATAATAAAAGTTCAGTGCAGTTTACAATATTCTCAGGCTAATCTCCTCCTATTCAATTACAGGTCCAGCTTACTATTTACAGCAATGACTCTACCTGTTATGATCTGAGCAGCTGATTTCAACCACTTTGTTTTCCACTGTGGATGGCTATCAGTTTCTTTCAAATGACTATAGAAGAAGGAAGCCCTGTATTATTCTGGAGCTTGATGATGTCAGCACAATATGACCCATGCCAAATTGTCCCTCTAGGGGTTTAGGGATTTAGGTTTCTAAACCCTCATTCTTCTATTTGAACTATGGATATGACTTCTTCCATAACACTGAACACCTACCTTAGGCAAACATATATACATAAGTATATATAACATAAGTTTTATATATATATATATATATATATATATATACACACACACACACATAAGTATATATAACATATATATGTGTGTATATAGTTATATAGTTGAATATATATTTTACATTTAAATATATTTGTTTTATATTTAAAATATGTATTTGTATATATATTATATTTTGTGTATATATGCATATATACACACACACATATAGTTCGGTATATATTTGTGTAGATTAGTGTCAGTGACAATCTGCCTGTTCCTTTCATCAAGGACACCCTTAATGAGTGGGCCAATTATTCTTTTCAAAAAACTTTCATTGAGATTTTGTGTTTTTACAAACTGAATTTTTTTCAGTTTTTACAAACTGTTTTTATACTTCTGAATATAGTCCTCCCTTTCCCCCTATCCAAAGAGCCATTTTTTATGACAAAGAATGTTTTTAAAGAGCAGAATAAAGCATTTCAGCATAACTGACCCAGCTCTTCCATGAGAGTTTGACAATAGATGTGATGTTTCCATATCAGTAGCTCCCCACCTGTGCAAAGAAGGGAGGAAGGTACATTTTCTCTTTTCCAAGACTCAATTCATTATAATTGCCAACAGATTCTTCTCACTGAGATTTTATAGGCATGACTCTAAGTAAGCATGTGGGTCACTGATGTTTCGTGATTGACCTATCTTTGGCATTAATAAGGTCTGTGGTTTTTTCCAAATATTTGGTATCCTCCCATTTTTTAGTTATCTTAAGAACCAATGCCCTCAAAATGGTTTCACCTCCAACATGGACCTCTGCTGGTACATCTGTTCTAGTCCATCTGCTCTTCCCATCTTGTTCTGCATGATTATACATCTCATTTAGGAGGCTTTCCATATCTGCTTCTTCAGGCAGTACATATGAGGCAACATTGTTAGAACCTAAATCTGAGGGGCTTGCTATCAGTGAAGGAGAAAAGAGTTTCATAAAACTCTTACCAGGTCTTTTTCAATTTTTGTCTCTTTGCCGTCCTCAATGTTCATGCCTAAATCCTCCAAATTCTCATCAGCCTTGGACCTCCACCTCATCACCAACCCGTCCCTCTGATAAGAGGGTGAAACCATGAACTCCAAAAATCTCTATTTAAGAATGGAGCTCAGCTCAGAACATCTCATTTCTCACCTGCCTGCTCTTCTTTAGGACTTCTCTACCATGCCCCCATGTCAGGTACCTTCCCCAGTCCTCCCCCCGAATCCTACTTTTTTACTTCCTTTTGCCTTTCATATGTTGTCTTCTGCCATTAAGTTGTAAGCTCCCTGAGGGCAGGGACTATTTTTCTTTTCTCTTATTTTTATTATTTTTTTTCTTTTCTTATTCCTAGAACTTAGCACAGTGTCTAGATTAGAACACAGTAGCACTTGAAGGCTTATTGACTGATTAACTAAATGCTCTCCAGATTATCTGACTTAACTGGTATCTCCCCAAATTTTTAGTAAATCTTTTTCCCTCTACTGCTACTCACTGTTTTAGAGGTAATACTGCTCAGAATCTTTCACCATCCTCCACTATAAGATTTTATAAGCAAGTTTTTATTCTAGTTGCTTTATCTCCGCATTTGGTGAAGAGATGAAGCGTTTGCCAGCGGAGATGGTTCTAGGATCATTTGGTCTCTTCATTGTAGGAGTTGGTTTACATCAGTTAAACTCTCTCAGGAAAGGGTAATAAACTGTGTCAATATCTACTCTTTTGTGGAGTTTTCCATTTTTTTCTGTTTCAGCAGCTCATTTAAACAGGTCAAGCTGGAGTTGCCTCAATTGCACATCATATATTCTTCTCCCTTTTATTCTCCTAATTTCATTTTATTTTTGATCTAACAAGTCATTGATCTGCCTGTACACTGACAGCTAATTCCAAAATGAATTCCACAGAAGCTTCCTGTCTATGAGCATGTAATCGATTTCAACTTGGGGATGTCATTCGGTGCTCACAGTGTCTGGAGCTTCTCAATTCTCTTCCTGAAGAAAGTATTCATGATGTATGGGTATGAAGCATCTGTGGTCTAAAAACCTTCGGCTTCTTTTGTTTCTTATTCTTGAGCCATGTTTTCCAACACATTTTCATCTCCTTCCTCTATGCCTACCTTTGCATGGGAGGCCCTAAGCAATCAAATATACGTGGATTTAATTTCAAGGTTATCATAGAATTTTTCCATCTTCTTATTCTCTGCAAGAAATGGTGGTGCATAAACTGCCATTGTTGGTTTGGGGGTTTTTTTGGCCAATAATAATGAACAGCATGATACAAGACGATCAAACCCTGTGTGAAATAATAATTTTTCTTTCCTTTGGATAAATGATAAAACCAGCTCTGTAGAGGCCATTATTTGTTTATCTAACCTGGGAGCTATCCCACTCCTGGGATGGCACTTCCTTTCATTTCATCTGATTCATATCCAGAAAGTCAAGATGGGTATAACACAGTGCCTCTAGCACCATGTCCACTTGGCTGCTGATCCAGACCCCTCTCCTGTAGAGTACTATTAGTTAAATTAGTGTTTACAGAGAGTCTAGAAATTGCCTGATTCTTAGCACTTTCTTTCTCCTCTTCCATAACAACCCTACAGAAGAAGTGGGTCACACACGATTGAAGGCTATTTTGTGTTTTTTGTAGTTTTCCATGGTCAAAGAATTTATCACCAAGTCGCCAGCCTACTGGTGATGAGCTCAGCTCCCCAAGACACTATAAAACAACATAAATGAATGTCATGTGTTTGATGCGCTGACACCAACATTGGGAAGTGCAAAGATAGTGAGAAAACTAATGGCAGAAATGGATCACTGTGTACTCTCTGAAAATAAAAGCTCTACTTTTGGTTAGGTGTGTGGATCTTGATTGTCCAATCCAATTATATAACCTTTCCCTTCCCTGAGCTGCATTAGCTAGGTGCAAGAAGAATCAGCATCCATTTACCTTAATGCTTTTGGTGGGTATTTCTCTGGACTTCCAAGGCAACATGGCTTCTGGGACCTTGTCAGATTTACATTCAGAAGGACATTGCTAGAAATCAGAGGATGAGATATAACGGAAATATTAGAAACAATTTATAAACCTATATTAACAGCTGTGCAGTTTACAGCTTCCAGAAATTTCACAGAGCCATCTGGAATGTTGACTCGTGTTCAGTGCAAAGAGTTTAGGGGTCAATAAAAATGATTAAAATTTTTAAAATTATATATGTGTGTATATCTATGTATATATACATACATATCTAGATTTACACACATACACATGCATGTATATACATGTACATTGTATGTATATTTACATGTGCATGTGTGGAGATATGCACATATATATACATATACATGTGTGTGTGTATGATAGGAACATAATGATCATTCCACTTAAGACAGAGCAGCATATTTCAGTAGCTGTGGAGCTGAGAAATCACTAAATGCTTGGAATTATCATTCCATTTGGCTTTATTAAGCAAAAGGAGACACATGTATAGCTTCTGTGGAAATTGAAAGCAGACATCCTGGCCTCTTCTGTCACCTGTCAAAGGTAACAGTGGATAATTTAAGGCTGCTGAGCAGCTCTTTAATAAATACTTGCTGGGTGAGAGAGAAAATCAAACAAAGATTTGATAGAAAAGAAAAAGTCTAGTTTATTCTCCCAGTAAACTAAAGAAATTCTAGCATGGCTCAGACCCTGGGAAGATGGGCCCTGGGAGAGACTATTGCTACTAAATCCAAAAGAGGGATGTGCCAGAGCATCTAGACCATGAAGGAACTTAGAGGTCGTGTAATCCCATTCCTTCACTCGACAGAGGAAGGGACTGGCACAGGGGCTGGCAGGCCTCAGACACAAGTCTTTGGAAGCCAAACCCATGTTCTCTCCATGACACCAGTCTTTCTAATATGAAGACAAACTTCTGAGAAACAATTTGACTAGTTTTCAACACAAATGAAAGCAGAAAACTTCAAATTATCTAGAAAGGAAAAAAGTAAGCCATGAATTCAAATCTCTAGAACTTTTATAGTCCGTCTCTAGAAACATAAAATGACGTGAAGAATGAAAAACTTAACTCCACAAAATCACTTAGTCAAATGGATCCTTCTATATTCTACATGAACAGTGATTATACCTGAGCATCAGACAGAGTGGATTTCCTACCTGCATCATGACAGTGTGATCCAGGCAGAAAGTCTGATATTTGAAAGGGATGTGAACCGTCTCCTTGGGGCGCACGTAGAGCTGCGGGGTGCAGTTTTTGTGGAGATGGAACATGTCTTCCTCCAGCGGCGTATGTACTTTGGTAGCGTCTTTGAAGTGTCTCCACTCCCTACTATCCAGAATGACACTAGAAGAAAGGTCGATAGCATTGTTCTTATGGGTATACATACTGTCATCACTTTGGACTACGAGGAGGCCTATTCTACCTGGCGAATCCAGATTGGGGGAAAACACCCTACCCACTTCTTAAGAGGTTACTGGCTTTACAGCATATCCCTTCTCTTGGCTACTAACCTGACCTTTTACCTACACAAAGCAGACCAGTGACACTCCCTCATGGAGACTGAGTCAGTTCAGTAAAACAATGCTGTTCTCACCAACAAGATGGAGCTGAGCGATAGTTTTTAAAAACCAGACACAGCAAGCCTTACCTGAGCTCTGGGTTATCAATCTCAATCGACACTGTATGCTGTAGGTTGTGTGGGTTCTTGAGGGCAAACTCAAAGAATTCAGCGGTGCCCAAAGTGGCATAGATGGTATGGTGGGTGGTGATGACCATGCTCAGCATATTGGTGATGCTCTCTACTTTGGTCCGTTCTCGATACGCATCAATAATCTGGAGATCCCGGGAGTGCTGAGTTTGGACATCATGCTGAGCCTTCAAAAAGGAAAATACTGAATTAAGGAAATGGATTCCTAGATCCTTTTTCCCTTGACCACCCCCGTCTCTAACCCCAGCCCTGGGCCATCAGCCTCCCAGATTTCCTCTTTTCCTACATGGTCAATAACCCAGAGTAACATGTCAAGTCTACCCTGATTTCCTCAAGAGGTTTAAATTTTGAGAACACTAGGATGAGTTTGCAAGATTCTCCGAGATCAGCAATGTGCCCAAATACCATCTCCCCAAAGGTGCTGTTCCCATTCTCTCTGAAGCATAACTATTATCCCAGAGAACAACTTTAAGAGCAAGCAGGGAAAAAAGATAACCTACTCAACACTGCATCTATTTCTATGGTTCTTTCCCTCACGAGGAATGCAAAAACACTCCAAACTAAGAGAGGCAAAATACAGTGGAATGGATGAAAAGTGGAAGACCCACCTGTGCCACACTCTGTGGGTGTGACCCTGAGCAGCTCTCTTATCCTCTCAGTGACCTATAGAACTCTCTAAGACTTGTAGTGAAGGTGCTGATCTGCATTGTGGAGGGAGTTTCTTCACCTGGGAGGTCCAGGCTCTATCCCTATTTCTATATTTTGAGAGGCACTGTGGAGCACTGGATAGGGCTTTGAACTTAAGAGTCAGAAAGACCTGGGTTCAAGTCCTGCCTCAGATGCTTCCTGGCTATGTGGCCCCTGGACAAGTCCCTTAATCGCTATCTGCCTCAAATTCTTCATCTGTGAACTGAAGGGGTTGGACTGGAAGGCCTCTGGGGTCCCCTTGACCTCTAAACCTAGGATCCTCGGGTGGAGGCAAATGCAGAGACTGTAATGGTGAACTCCAGCTGATAAAAGCTTGTTAAAAACTTGATAAAGGTGAGAACAAACTGTCTTCTGACGTGCCTATTAAGGTAATCTAATATTCCTTTTCCAACAGAAAACGGCTGGTAGCTAATGGACCTTGCTCCCTCCCCCACTTGGGTGAACAACACTCCTGTGAGTTTACTGTCCGTGCCTGCCCACTGTGTGGCACTCTGAATGACCCACGATTTCAATTATTTTGAGAACATGGTATTCCATGGCTCACAGCCATACACAACGTTAAAAAGATCAATGTTAAAAATATGGGGTTTTGAAATTGATTCTCTCCTCCCTCCCCATCTACCCAAAGCTCTAGAAGGGATGAAAAAAAAACCCACCATAAATATGGTAAAGAAACTTACTAATTTTTCACCTTAAAATACCCTACATCAATAATCCTAGGGATGGTTAAAATTGGGTAGGGAAGTCATGTAAGATCACTTCACGTCTCAGAATCGCCTACGAGAGGGTTTTACAAGGAGGATGCTGAATAACTGTTCTCCTTGTTCAGAGAAGAATGAACAAGAGAAACAGGCTATAGGGAAAGCAGGAGATGTTTTTGTTGAGTGTAAGGAAGGACCACCAAGGTAAAAAAGCATTGACAAGTACACCAAGGAAAGCCACAGGGCCAGACCCTCAAGATCCATAAGAGAGTAGATGCCCATCATTCTGACATTCACCCTCCTGAGCGCCAGACAGATAGGACATCTCTTTTAAGGTCCCTCCCAGGTCTACTCCTCTGTACCTATAGGCTAAGATCCCATCTCAGATGGCCATGGAACCATCCCAACAAGAACATTCATTTCCACAGAAGGGAATTATGACATATGGGAACCCAAGTTAAACTGCCTTGTACTCTGCCACTAAGAAGTGGCGTAAGCTGGACAAGGTCAAGCAATATTGTGAAGGAATGACAAGGCCCTAAGGATGCTTTGGAGCCACAAATGTAGCCGCAGACGACTTGCGGGTTAAAAGCAGGTCTCTCACCAGTAGGTTTTTCTTTCCGAGGCCAAGATTGCTTTCAGACTCCTGAAGTCGCACTGCCACCATCCTCTCAAGCTTCCGCTTCCGTGTGGCATCTGCCTCTTGACTGGTGACCTGATGGACCTTGCTCCCCTCGTGCTTGTTAGTAAAGAGCATTGCAGCTAGTTCACTGTCCACATCGGCTAGTTTCCGTGCTTGAGCCACATTTTTAAAAGCTGCAAAGTTGTCAAATATGAGAGTCAGAGACTAGTTTGGGAGTGAACATTCTTCAGGTATGGATAGATGACAAACCTGGTAGTAAAATTTTATCCTTCCAGGCAAGGAAGCTGCAAAGGTATCACTTCAAAGGCTATGACTATGTCTGCCCTATCCTCCTACAAATCAAAGTTGTTAAGCTCTGGGATGTTGAGTCACAAAATGATTCTATTCTATACTACGTTGCTATCACCTCTATAGGATCCCTCTTTACAGCACCAACCCCGGCCAGCACCACCCAAATAAAGGATTCTGATATGCGTTCTTAAGTAATACTAATGTGCCCTGCTGTGCAGAGATTTTCTGGTGTCTAGTAGGTAAGGGAAGTCATACAATGTTTGGAAAGGAGATCACTCCACATCTCAAAGCTGCATACAAGAGGATGCTGAATAATTGTTCCCCTTATTTAGAGATGAATGAACAAGAAAAAAGAGGCTGCAGGTAAAGCAGGAGAAGTTTCTGTTGAATGTAAGGAAGAATCATCAGGTTAACAAAAAATCCACAAGTACAGAAAGGAAAGCTACAGGGGCTGTTATTTTAGCAAAATAAGGAAATTCATTTAGAAACAATGACAACGACAATACATGGAAACAGCGGACTCCTCAGTAAGCCCACCATATCAACAGTGCTACAACGATCAAACTTTGATGCTTCTCAATGAATCAGTGATCTTACTGATGTGGGTATTCCTTCCTAGGTGCAAATGGCAACCCATTAATGCCTTCTCACATTATAAGACACCTGCTTACAACCTCCCAAAAGTCCCAATTCCTCCACAAGTGATCCACCCAACATTTCTTCCTTTAGATCTCCCCATACTGCATAGATCCCAGTGAGACCCATGGGATATCTGTTGGTGATTCCTTACATTCACTACATGATCAGTCCACATTGGCTTGTTTTTTTCCTTGATACTGTTCCACAGTCCACGCCTGTCCATCATGCTATCCACTGGCTTTTGGGTGAAATTTTTTGGAAAACATGGTATCCCAGGGCTAATAGCCATAGAACAACATTAAAAGATGATGGATCTTTGAAAGTGATTCTCTTCCCCCAAGTGCTTCTCCCTTTCCTTGGAACATTGCTGCTTCTGCTGCCATTACCCCGAGCTGTCCCCTCTCCATCCACCATGAAGAAAACCAAGATCCTCTGCAAGACAAAGCCGGTTGGCCCTCCGTAGGAAGGCAGTAACTGGGTGAGGGGCCGAGCTCTCCAATGAGGAGCACAATCTACTCTGCATGGCCTGCAAGAACGTCAAGCCAAAAAAACAACTCCACCAACAAGAAGATGCATCTAGCCAAAGACCATGAAGAGAAAGTGGGATGTAAACAAAATCCACCTGTGCAGCCAATGGATAAATTTTTAACATACAATGCAACAAATCCAGAGTGAGATCTCTCCTAAGATGGAGAGAGACACTGTTAGGGACCTTGATGAAGGAACTTGAAGTGACGACTGGAAACTAACAATAGACAGTGCCCAAGGAACTTAGCAAGGAGCATTTGACACCAATGAGAATGAGAAATAACCTACATGGCCAATTCACCTGCTGTTAGTTCTGAACTTTTATGTATTTTACTACGATATCCTTCCTTAGTAATCCAGAGCTTGCCTGCATACTGGCTAAAATGACTTTTGGTGAGGTATCAGCCAATAAACATTTATTAAGTGCCTACTATGTACCAGGCTTGTAGCTAGGTTGTGCAATGAATAGAGCACTGGGCTTGGAGTCAGGAAAATCTGAGTTCAAATCCAACATCAGACATTTACTAACTGTGTGACCCTGGGCAAGTCATTTAACCCCTATTTGCCTCAGTTCCTCATCTGTAAAATGGGGGCACGCTGGAGAAGGAAATGGCAAGCCATTCCAGTATCTTTGCCAAGAAAACCACACGGACAAAAGTCCATGGAGTCACACTGAGTCAGAGACAACTGAGTGAGTGAACAACAACAAATGGATCAGGCACTGTGCTAAGTGCTAGGGATACAAAGAAAGGCAAAAGACAGTCCCTGTCCTCAAGGAGCTCGGTCTAATGAGGGATTCAGATCACGAATCCGACATACTGCATGACGAATCATAAACAGACAGTGCCCTGATCATGCAGGTGCTTAGAAACCACCTCACATTGTGGATATCACGCAGCACAGGGCAATAGAGACTACAGAAGATGAAGAGAACTAAACTTCAGGGGGCAGGATGGGAGGGGGGTGTCATCTTCATTTTTATATGTCTCCATCTGTTACAGCTCTTCTTGGATTTCCTATAGTAAAGAGAACCCAGCTGTGTACATGGAAATCAACCCCTCACAGTCTTGTGCACCAAAGCTTTGCGAAAACTCCATTCCTTGGTTTGTGTTTGCCCTAATCTTCCTGCCCATGGTCACTGCTGTAGAAATGCACTAATGGCTTCACTTCTTTTGAATGTAACTAACTTTCAGGCACTTATGTAAGAGGACCAAAGCCTATCTAGAATTTTTAAAATATGAACTGTTTCTACAAGGGACTGTTTTACATTCCAGGGAAAACACAGAAGTGTAGTTACTTGCAATTCGAGTGTTCTACATCACTCTTTCCCCCTACACCTTCTTCCCACCTTATTTTTCAGAGTTTTGCTTTCAGCTAACAACTCTCACATGCTCTTCTTATATATTCCTTTTTAGGAGGAATCTCTAAGTATCATGTAAAATGGTAACAAGTCTGGAACTTCAAGGTTAGAGAGCACAAATTGAAAAATGCCTCTTATACGCTGAGTCTTGGAGACCACTGTCTGTCCATGATGAGATGGAGTCTTCTTACTCCTCAGTTGCTGCTGGTCTAGCTGGTGATGTCGCTCACCCAACAAAAGTCCTCACTTTTTCCTGTTCCTTTAGCTGTGGTCTTCACTGTCCTACCACAAAGAAACAGTACTCAACTGCCAGAATACAAGTCCTGCTTTTTAGTGGGCAAAAGGGTGCATCACATCTTCATAAGCTAGAATGAGAAGAAAAACTGAAATACCCGAGTCTGAGTTCAACCCTTGCAATGCAGACTTGTGCATGTGGGAGGGGTGTGGAGTTTGACCAGTGACTGTTACATAGAAAGTTTGAACGACTATTGTGTGCCACTAATCACTGACTATAGTTTCAAAAATTCTTACGAAATATGACCTATGTAATGGCACACTAAAGTAAAATAAAATTATATTTTATAGACAAGAAAAGGTGTTTTTGAGTGTTTGTAAAGAAGAAGCACCATGCAATTTCCCTAATAAAATCCAGCCTACTCTGCTATTTAATTATTGGGCTGAGTGAATTACCTATAGGTAGCATCTGTCAAAACATATATATATATATATACACATACATTTTTTCAGTATATATTTTTCAGTGTGTACACGTATACTGATGTACATGTGTGTGTGTATATATATATATATATATATATATACGTGTGTGTGTGTGTGTGTGTGTGTGTACTGATGAACATCTCTGTAGTCTGCACAATAGGCATTCTCCTTCCACATGGTTTTTCCTATGTGGATTGTTGGGCCAAACTCTGTGAGGTAATTACAGATCTCATTTAGGAATTGTTCTAGGAATTGATGCAATCAGCACAATGCCATCTGCAAAAAGAAGCATCTGAAAGATGTCACCATCTAGAAGGAATTTTTCTACCTGAACTTGGTTAGAAATCCTCAATGACAGCATATAACGCCTTTGACAAACATAAATATACGGCATAAATAATCTGAGGGTCAATCGATATAAACAATCTGAAGGTCAATGAATAAAACGTTGTTGCTGTTCATCTTTTGTTTTTAAAGAGGATCAATGACATCAGGGGTGATGTCTTGATTTGTGGGTGGATTGGATTTAAGTAAGGCAAAGTTGCACAAAGTCGTTAGCCTTGCTCTCTCTTCCAGAGTCATCAAAGTCCAGTGGCAGGACAAAAGTCAAGAGCACTGGCGATGGTTCAGGATGCAGTGGATGACCTCAGCATCTTCAATGTCCGACCGAGCTCTAAGCTCCCCACAGCACCTGCTTCAGCTGCCTTCATAGCTATTGGAACAAACTGTTCTCATCTGCCTATTTCGCTGGGAGAAGTTTTCATTTACTTAGAGTAGACTTCCCCCTGACTCACTGATGGGTTTGTGACCTGTTGGTTGTCCTCAACCTGGCTCAGCCTGTTTGCCAAGACATTTTCATCAGGATGTGACTGTGCATGCTATAGCTTTTTGGAGCCACAGGTGAGTTATTCAGATAGACATTTCCTACCTCAACTTACTTTAATGGAGATGTGATCCCATCATGGTAGATTCTGTCTCCAATGCTGCATGTCTTAACCCATATTTATGTCTATCTTACATAATTCTTTTCCATGTTTGGATAACCATTTTGTTATGTCTTTCAAGGAATCTAATTATTTCATATGCATGAAACAGCTCTTGGTGTTAGGTGACCCTTTAAGGAAATGTTTTGCTCTACTCAATCAAATGCTTTGTTATTTGTCTAAAAACAAGCATTATGGGATCTTGTATTCTTTCACTTGATGTACCCACACCAGCCAAGCTAACTCCTAACCTGGCTCAGCTCCTAACCATTCTCCCTACTTCTTTGCTAACAACCCACCCCCACCCTCACTTCCCCTTTTCCTCTTTCATCTCCTTTTTATGTGTTGTCTTCATTAGTATGTAAGGTCCTTGACCCGGCAAATGACAGTCTTGTATTTGTATACTCAGAACTTAGTAGAGTACCTGGCACATAATACGTTCTTAATAAATGCTTTCTCAGGGCAGCTAGGTGGTGCAGTGTATAGAGCACTGGCCCTGCAGTCAAGAGGATCTGAGTTCAAATCTGGCCTCAGACACTTGACAATTACTAGCTGTATGACCCTGGGCAAGTCACTTAACCCCACTGCCTAGCCAAAAAAAAAAAAAAAAATCCAGCCACTCCCTCTCTTGGGGCAGCTAGGTGGCACAGCG